GCCCGTGCCCTCCCCCGAGCCCGCCGGGGCCCGGTGCGGTTCTCCCCGGGGCGGGGTCCGCTGTCCCGCCAGGGAGGAGCTGGGGGAGCCCCGCACACCGACCCAGGAGCTCAGCCCGCTGTGCCCTGTCATCCGTCCTGCACCTGCACCGTGCAGGGAAACGGGAAAAATAAATGTAGGGGGAAAAAAAAAAGAGGGGGGGTGGAGGAAGTGGGGGGGAGAAAAAGGGCGTTTTAATGCACCATTAAAACTTGGTCAGTGAGATCCCAGGTGCAGTTAGAGGACGACAGGAGATCTTTACCTCCACATTTCCAAAGCATATTTAGATTAACTCTGAATCTTCTATTTGGTTGCAGTGTTCTATTCCACGTTTTGTTTTCTTGCCCTTAAGCTACTTACGTGCTCTTTCAACTTCATCCTCCTTTTCGTTTTCAGTCCGGGATGCGGGATGAGTGCAGCACAAGCTCGGCCCTTCCTGGCATTCCCTGGCATCTGCGTGTTCTTCTGGAAGTGCTCTGCAAGCAGGACGGAGCCTGGAAGGGAAGGCCGCCCAGCCAGCCTCAGCTCCTCTCCAACCTCAAGGAGAAGTCATCTGGCACCACCGCCTCCTGCCCTCCCCAAGCCATTAAGGGGACACATCTCAGCGTGGCCCCCTTCTCCAGCTGATCCATGGCTACAATCCAGAACCACCTCCTGAAGCAATCAGCTGAGAGAACTACTTTTTCAGGCCACCAGCCTCAGCCCACGGGGTCCACACAGGCCACAGACCCTCAAAGTGATGCCACCATTCCTGGCGGCAGCTGAGCGTGGCCTCCTTAGCTTTAGGCATATGACCAGTCTTCTCCAAGCTGTGCAGGCTTGTGGGTTGGGAAGAGAACAAGTATCATACGATGGAGTTAGGCTTTTCTCAGTGATGACCGGTGATAGGACAAGGGGTAATGGGTGCAAATTGGAGCATAGGAGGTTCCATGTGAATATCAGGAAGAACTTCCTTACTGTGAGAGTGACAGAGCACTGGGACAGGCTGCCCAGAGAGGCTGTGGAGTCTCCTTCTCTGGAGACATTCAAAACCCACCTGGACACGTTCCTGTGTGATGTGCTCTAGGTGATCCTGCTCTGTTAATGGGGTTGGACTAGATGATCTTTCGAGGTCCCTTCCAACCCCTAGGATTCTGTGATTCTATGATTCTATGATCATGCAGGAGGCATCGAGAGGTCATCTGACCAGAAGGCTGTGTGTGTTTAATTGGGAGGGTCCAGCCCGCTGGGCGCTCTGTGATGCCTTGGGCATGATCAAAGGCAGCCCGGTGTGCCACATGGATTCTCATCCTGGGTTAGGAGAACCAGCCCTCAGTGGCATTAATGTGAGCAAAAAGGGCTGGTCAGCTAGAGGGAAGAGGAGAAATGGCATCTTTCTTTTCTCCTGGGTGTCTGGTCAGAGCTGGTCTGTTAAAGAGACCTGCTGATGGTGGATGATAACAAAAGCAAACACAGACAGCAGTATCTGATACCCAAGAGAACATCCTCTGCGCTGCAGGCAGGACAGTATCAGTTACAAGTTAAGGCAGCTGTGATTACCATCAGGCCAGTAAGTAGACAAGCACTGCTGGAGACAAAACCACTCATTTTAAACTCCTACTCCTTCAGTTGCCACTGTAGCCAACTAGGCAGCTTCTCTCGGCTCCTGGGCCACCAGGTCTGCACTGGCCACTGAGGAACTGAATCAACTCTCCTTCTAATGCCCTGGGTGCAATCTATGGCCTGGGTATGCTACCCTATAAAGGGCAGCTGCTTGGGATTATGTGTGGGTGTGTGGTGGTGTCACCCAAGCATGAAATTTGCACATCAGACAATTTACCCTTGGATGCTGCTTCTGGCATTATCCATGAGCCAGGACTCAGCTCATCCAGGCTTCAGAGGAAAATGCCACACAAGTTAGCACAGGGCACAAGCAACAGCAGCAGTGGGTGCAGCCCTCCCCTCCTTGCCTTCTGCCTGAGCATTGGGGTCACCCAGAACAAAACAGACACAGGATATTCAGGCAGGTTTATGGTGATAATTCAAATCAGGGAAGATTTGAACAGGAGTACAGTCTCCCACAGCATTATTCCCTAAGACCACGGAGAATGAGTTTGGAGAATGTGGCTAGAGAATATCTGAATAATTATATAAGGATTCTGAGGTAAATGACCACCCAGAAAAATTATCTGAGCACATTCCTACCATCCCTACAAGCTCTAGTGGAAGCTGTGCTGCAGGAACTCCTGGCTTTGTGTTTGCTCAAGGATCACTGGGAAACTCTCTCCTCTTCCTGCAAGCGTCTGTATTTCTGTATCAATGCGTAGAGAAGTCCTGTTGGGTTGGCAGTGGCCAGTGATAGCAGATCCTCATGACTGCACAGGCTGGGGCATGCAGGATCTAGGGTGGGCACAAGGCCCTTCATGAGGGTTGCAGACCGTTCCTGCAAACTTATTTGCACACCTGCAGCCTCAGTCCCATGCACGGTCAGGACACACGCTTCACTTGATGTCAGT